TAAAAAAGCTGAACTGGATCGTTAGAAAAAAACTATACCAATTGCAAGTTAGACAGAATATTTTGTAAAATAAATAGACAGTCGACTATTATGCTTGAAAAATCGGATGGTTACTTCATGTGATCAGGATCTAAAATGTCGTTGAAAATGTTTAGTGCATTGTGTGTATATAGGATAGTACAACTAAGATCCAGCTAAAATTACGTCTAAGGGCTTGAGGGCAATGAGGCTTTGATTTAATGCAACACATAAACGTGAAAAACTAAAAGATGATGAGTGCGATCGATTACTTTTTTCACCGGCTTTCCAATTAACCTCTCATAGGACTTAGTAAATTGAATCTTCTGCGCACAGCTAAAATCGCCACAATGTATACAAATGATTACTTGTAATTAGAAAGTATTCTATATTCAAGTAAATAGAACAAAGAACAAGAAAAAGTAATTTTATAGACAGTGCTTGTATTTTTCTTTAAACTGTGACTAAAGAATCCACAAAAGTAGTCGGAATTACTTGTTATTGTCGGAAAAACTTTTAATAAACAACTTTTGAACCTTCAAAATGTCCAACTTTGCCCCAATTTAACCGACTTTTAACAATTTCTCTGCTAAACGTATTTGAGGCCTAAAATATGTTTAATTCGTATTGTATGGTGAACTCAACTTTACGAGAGCTTTTGAAAAGTACACAATATATATCGTTCATAATATGAATATGTGACAAGGTGATAATAAAAAGCGATTTCAAGACTATTTCCCAAATTGTACCTGGTAGTCTAATTGTTAAAAGTGTAACAGGTTAGACAAGTTGAAGTAGAGTAGAGTAAAGAGTTCGCTATATAAAAAATAATAATTTCTAGTGGAACAACCATTCATTTAAAGAAGGTAAACACTTATTAGCTAAAGACCACTTAAACTAAAGGTAAATTTTACCCAAATCGAAAAGCATTAATGTCAATAATTTATAACAAATGGATGGTACCTATGTATTCTTGCTCCTGCTGTTTCTTTCGTTACGTGCCATTTAATCTGGCTGAATGTTGATTCAAACGGCTTTTGTTGCCATCAAAATGCTCCCTTGTCCCTTATTAGAGCTTTTTCACGTCTTGATAGTTACTAAACGAGGATCAATTAGGGCAGAAAGGGTAAAAGCTGGGCAAAAGCTTACAATGCCTAGATGACGCTTTCGAGCATTTCCTTGAAAACATAGACGAATCTGGTAATTAGTTCAGTGAAAAAGAGCGACAAGAACTAAAGGCTAAAAGGACATTTAGCTACAGAAATGCTAGGTTGTACGGATCATTTAATTTTGAACACTTCATTTCAGACGTGTGCAATGTCTGGATGAAATTGTTTACTATTTAGGCGAATTTGTTTTCGCAATAACACGTTTATTGCCGATTTATCACTTGATATTTAGAATGTTTACATCTTCCCACTATTTTGCTACAGTTAACGTCTGTGACAAACTTATCAAACAATGCGCCGCTCTTGAGGCTTAACGTAATCCTACGTAAATCACTTGTTTGGATATGTTGGAAATACTGTAGATAATGTACAAAATTCTTGTGAATATATTAAAAGCTCTCACTATCATATTATCATAGTGGACGTCAGGCAGTAGTCCAATGAGGTTTTGTCAAGGAATTTGAACAATGAGGTAAATCCTTTATATTCATGTCTTGTAATGGAGCGCTGATAAAACAAACATTTGCCACGCAGACATTCCAGATATTAAAATATTTTGTATTTTGCAAAACAAGTGTTTCAATATAGTATACAATAAGCTGCCAAGCTGGCTAAACTTGTTTTAAATGCAATTTGAAACACATGTTAATCACTAGTTCCGACGGAAGTGCAGGGGAACATTCCAGCATTAAAGAAACAGTGTTTTATACTTCAGAAAAGTGTAAAAAAACATTAATAACATGTTATTTACATGAATTAAGTATGGACATAACCACCAAGAAAACGAACAGTAAATTACTTTATAATGCACAGTGTAGAGCTTGAAATAGCAGATTTACATATCTGATTTCCGTAAGTCTAAATATAGAGTTGTTGAAACTGCAATTTAATTACGTAAATGGAAACTGTTGCTGAAAACGAGCTTTGCAATGATTTACGTCAAAAACTACTGGCACGTTTCCACAATCCAACGATCATGTCAATTGATTCAACGACTCTATTAAATTTTAACTTATGGAACTGTTCCAACCCAACACAGTGAACATTTGTTGAAAATATGTTTGGCTATCTTTATACTACAAATGTAAAATTGTAGCTAAAAGATTATACTTTCATATAATTATTTTGTTTCTACATAAGGTAGAAGAAAATGGTGTCCTGGGTTTCCTTAATATAAAACCAAAGTCTTGCCTTTTCACACCATTCAGAAGAAGTAGCAAATTAGCTACCAACCAATTCGAAGCCATCTTTCGCGCTCCAAAAAGCCTGTTTTCCCTGTCCGACAATAGGATAATTGTTCCTGCTCTGGCTGTGTTATTGGAAAGAAACTGGACTTCATTGGCAACTAAATTGAGAGGTTGGATTTTCTTTAATAGTTTAAATTTAATTCGATAACCTGCGAAGCTCAAGCCGTTTCTTTGATATTAACTTGCAAACTTCATTGGAAAATCTTAGATGTGGAACGATTCCAATTAAGCCATTTTGGAACCTGTCGATCGTTAAGCTTTTTAAGAAAATTATCTCAGAAACTGTTTCTCAGGCTTAGTCGGATTCAGAAAAGCATGTTATGTTATGGTTGTCATATCATAAAAAGCACCACTCAAAAGTATCTAAAAAATTTAAAAAAATTAAAAATTTATCGTTCTGCTATAAAGATTCGGTTTATATTCAGGGTGTCACAGTCAGCGTCCATTACAATATTTCGGGAAGGAATGCGATTTGAAACCCTCAAATTTGGATAATGGGATTTGCGGAGACGAGCTTTTTAGACGAAATAACAGCGCAATTATGCTAATGATCCCGACATCCTGATAATCATAAAATTTTGTGAAAATCTATATTTTGCTCAGAAACGGATCATGTTCATCAAAGCTGTGACAATAAAGAAAGGAACACAAGCAAAAACATTATACAGGGTGTTGGAACCGGAAGTCGAATAATGTCGCTGTTATTTCATCTGAAAAGAAGGTCTCCGAATATACTATTATCCAAATTTGCAGGATTGAATTCGCATCACTTGTATATGAACAACATCCTGTATATGAAAAACATCCACGTTCCAAGAGCAGATGGATTTGCAATAGAAATTTATAAAGCAGGAGAAAAAATATTAACAAATAAAAGATACTTAATAGATGTTTTGAAACTGCCTTTGTCTTAAATACGTAAAACCGTGTTTATGATAATCACAAAATGATAAAAAGTCGTATGTATAAAACTTGATGTACTTTTAAGGCCATTAACTTTGTTAGGCAGACTTCAGATTGGATTATAATAGAAACGACTTACCACATGAGCATACTTGCAAAGAAAATAGTGGATCACAACGAACCACTTGCCCAATTATTTGTAGACTACGAGAAGCGGTTTGAATCAGATGACAAATACAAAATTATTGCTGTTATAGCTGAGATCTGTATAAATATACCCTTTAATAAATAAAAATAATCTGCTTATTGAAAAGTCTCTTTCTGATACTCTGTATAAAACGCACTTAATTCTCTGTAAATATGGCTTTCTAGCTACATCTCTTAATTTGAATACGTTTAACTTGACTCAAGATTTATGAAATTACAAAGCTGGAGGAAATAAGACACAACAAGCTGAATGTAAACAACTCTACATTGTTTAACACCCCTTGCTGTCGCAAAGAGAATTGAATAATAGATAAGAAGGTACGTTCATTCTACTGGGGAAACTTTTATCCTTCCCGCACAGCTCCCAATGTGGTGGTTTACAAAATAGACAAATCCAGCGTCTTGCAAATTATGAATAATTATTACTTTAGAGAAGGAACCTCATTGTGTAAATATCGCACAATCATGTGAACACACAAGTCCGTCGGTAAAAAAAAATTGTCATCATTATGTCGGGGTGCACTCTTCTCGTTTACATTTTTCCTGATCAGCTCAATTCAATCACCAAAGCACTAATAAAATCCTATAAATATTCTTGAATTGATTCTGCTGAAACATTAGTCATTAATTCAGAATGCCAATAATTTATATTTGATATAGAGGGTACAACGTTTCTAGTTTTTTTCGCTGTTCAACCAGGCCAAATGAATGGTTTCTAATTTATCTTCGTGCCCCCAAAAACCGCAAATTCCGCCAATTCCTTGTTTAAAATGCAAGGTATCGCAATGTTCACTAGTAGCCGGGGTTTGACTCTCCTGAATTGTGTAAAGAAACTAATCACTCAACTGTTGATCTACATGGGGGTAGGCGGGAATTTAAAAATGAGAAACAAGATAAACTGTTTTCGAACTGCGAAAACTAGTCACTGGATGCCATCGTGGCTATCGGTAACATTTATCAATTTTCCTTTTTACTGGGAAGATACATTAAACAACAGCAGGAGCGCGTTTATTTTCCTGACTACTTCATCCTGTTTTGTTTATAGTGGTCTTTAGCTAAGGATATCATACAGGGCATATATAAAAGCAAAAGCTCACAACCAGTAGAGCAAAACCAAGTGGACGATTTTTTCATGAAAGTACACAGATATTTTTGCATGGGTGTTTAGCTTTTACTTTTAGTTCTCACACAGCCGGAAACACGCACTAAACAAAGAGCTAACAAAATCATAATACACAGAATGGAAAGGAAATCGAATTGAATATAATACATGGGACAGAACGCATGGTTCGCTCTTTACGACTTCGTATTGTTTTTTCAAAATAAAGCAGAACACTTTTGACATTGAACAGCCATAAAAAGGAAAACATGGACGATTACGAACGACATGAATCACATAAGTAGTACACTAGATACACTTTTATTCGAGCCACTGGGACAATATTCTCCCACAAACCTGTAATGGCTATTTTTGCTGACCATTTTGATGTGCCATCCAATACCGATTGTTTAACTGCTTTCATGTGTCCCGCATGGCTCTTTTCTTCGACGGAGAAAACGTCCCTAGGAAGTTTATATTCAGTTCCCTAATTATATTCAATATGTAAATAAAATCTGATCAATTTACACGCCTATCACTTGTACTTTCTACTTGAATTTCATTGCAAATTTGTAGATGTTTTAAGCAAAAACCAAACACAAGCAAAAAGCCAAAACAAAAGATTTGCAAATTCGATAATCTAAAATCTATTTTATTAGAGGTTTTGGGTTTAAAACGTTCGATACATAAATAAATATTTTAGTCATCAGTCATTGAAAAGCAGTTGTCGCCGCAAAAACCTCTTCAGTTCAGTTTGCGAAATTTCGTTGTCTAGTTCCACTACCTCTCAACCTTCTCAAAGCTGCTATGATTCACTAAAAAAGATCTTTGTCGGCCAAACTGCATACGTTAGAAACTTTGTCGGTTACACTTGGCCACTTTTTGGATCTGTACCTAATTGTTCCTACAGACGTACCCACAAAACATATATTTAACTGGACACGTTGATATCAGTTGCAGGATTTTATATGCCAGTTTATTCAAGCGAAAAGCAATTTTCCTGGAAATAATTGGTTTCTTGCTTACATATTTGCGTATCCAGGATTTAAGGTAAATAAATCTTCCGAGTTCTAGTTGCAGAATGATGTATACGTGCCGTAAATATATGCTAAGATTATCTAACCCACATATGAAATTTTAATGGTGGACTTTTAACCATTTCAATATAAGGTAAAGGCCTGAAGCTATAGCTCTAACAGTCTCTGCTCTCGGTAAATTTAATTTCTTTAGAACCAGTCGCAAAGTTAATAGACAGTTTTACAACTGATTTTATTAACAGGTACTTACAACAATCTTATGTCCAAATTGTTGAATTATTGTGTTTTCAATGGAAATTAAACATATTTGTCCAAAATCAGCATTTTATAGTTCCCATTTTTAACACCCCGAAAATTAGTATTCGCGTTTGTACTACTTTAGACTTTTTTTCAAACTACAAATTAAATTTCATTTCTTGCTCTGTTAATCAAATGAAGAAACGTGACAAGCAACACATCACAAGCCAAGGCGTTAAAACATGATTTGGTTCATCTGATCATCATTTACAAATTATGCAAAATATGAATTTAACATAGATTTTTTAAACTTTATAGCTCGTTTTTACAATAAAATATCGTAAAATCATTGGTCAAAATTCTGCAAAAAATCTAGAAGCTTTTCAAAAATTTATTTAATGCATTGGTAAATCACATATACATTTCTAAAAAAATGTATTATTGCCGGTTTATTCACTTCATAGCACTTCCAAAACAGCCTAGGATTATTTCAAACATACTTTTTTTGCTGCATGATTTTGAGGCAGTGGGTATATTTAAAATTTTAAATTATACCCTTTACCGGGTATTTATTTCTTTTCCACAACTTATATTTTCAATGATTTTTTACTGTATGTTATGTAGGTATAAAATTATTTTTACTTAATTGCGTGATTGCAAAACAACTGATGCGGTTCGACTAATAGTAGGTGATAAGTTAAACACGTGGAAGATAATTGCACTATATGCATGGGCTTACGTGTCAATGAGGCTTGGATGGAATAAAAATGGGGAAAACAACTGCAGTCTCCATGAGCTTTGAAAATAGAGCTGTAAAACGATTCATGACAATAAAGACTCGAAAAGCTCACTGTTTGGTACACGGATTAAAATTGTATTGTTCTCAACATTTACCAATGCTGTGCTTTGTGCTTAGATCAACAAGATCCGATTAGCGCAGTTTCGCTTATAGGTTACATATCAATTCACATTTTATGGTTGTTTTGTAAACCGCAATACCAGTTGTGGTTTAAAAAAATCCAATGAACAATAGTTTAGGCATTGGATATTTTTGTCCAGACTTTTATTTGCCGCTTTTTGTTTGCATTTTTTTGTAAATGAAAAATTCATGTCAAGTCGCATAATACGTTTGTGTTAGTCTGAACAAATCAAATTGCGAGAGCTTGAGACTGGAAGCCATGAAAATTTGAGATAATTTAATAATTCTATTTTTACAATTTCCTTGTTCTTTTTGAACTATAATTGCTTGAAATATAGTTGCTTTTTGCAACCAGTCTGTCGGCTCCATAGAAATTGAAACTACCCTTTTTGTAATAGTCAGTTTATCACTAGAGTGCATATGAGATTTTTGTACTGATTTTGGTTGTAGAATGTCCCCAATATCGGTCTAACAGGCTGAAATTGGATCCCGCTGTATATTGCTGAAAATATTATTTCAATGAAGGCAATTCACTATGTATAGCTTTACTCCTAAGCATCGTACTGTGTGGCATCTTATTAATTTTTCTGACAATTTGTTTTATTGTAGGTAAATTAAATATAATTTTTTGTTAAAATGAAAACATGTGAATTCAAATCTGTTGCGTTGTGAATTTTATTCAATTTGTCGGTTATTTATAAATACGCCGAAACCTAATATATTACGAGAATTTATCTGAATTTTGCATTTATGACTATCAGGAACTATATGTATCAATTTCTACACGATTTTGGTTGGTTCTTTTGTCTGTAAGTTCAAATTAATTGTTGGGACATTTTGCATGTTTTGCACACGAATGAAAATGTGTGCTGCAGAATCTAGGAGCATATTAAACCTAAAATATTCGTTATTTCATATGTGGGTCAGAAAAACTAACTTTGTTTTCTAAATATCCTTAATACGAATTGGTAGGTGATTATGAATATTCACCGCATTACAAAATCCCGTAATTATCGAGGAATAGTGTTCTGGGAAACAGGGCCAGGCACAGTAAATATACGACATTATGGCCAAAAGGGACTTCGTTTGCTCCGCTTTTATTGAATTACAAAGAGCTTACGTAGCTTCGGCTGCGGCTCTTTGAACATAGAGGTATTAGCTAAGCCAAAAGGGAGTTTTCGTAGACGTTCTGCTGCAGGAGTAATATAACTTGTGGCCAGTTTATTCTCTAATGAATCAATTGTAGTAGATATCATTATTTATTTGTCTGATTCAGTGCAGATTTGAAACGGATCGTGCAACGCCATGCTTGGTTGATAACAAGCATTATTAAATTTTAAGTTACGGATTCTCGGAACTAGTTCAGTATTAGTCTTGCATATATATTCTGGAGACAGGTTGTTTACCAGTAAAAATGCCACAATTACATTATAGTGAAAATCACTATTAAATACGTTAATTCCGTTTTTTTAAGTCTTCGTTTACAAAGTTGGAACAACTAAATAGTAAGGCTTAGAAATATAACCAGAATAAAAATTTTAGACGCGCTGAGAAAGTAATAAAAACCATCATTTAATTTCTTAGTGTTTTCAATCTACAATTATTTTCGTCTTATTATGATGATTCAATATTATCGAGTATGTGATACGGTAAATGTGATTATTCATAAAATAATGGTTAATTGCCCGTTATTATATAGCTTGCCTAAAACAGGACCTTTTAAATGTCAATAAAAATGTTGAACAGGAGTTGCAAGTAAAAGTTTTTATTTAAATTTTTCAATCGTTTTCGTTGAAATCCTGTTTGATTAATAGTCGGTTTAAGTTTGTCTTAAGTAGATTAGAAAATCGTTTACGATAAATAGATGAATATAAATACTGACTAAAAGGATTATTAAATCTATGAACAACTTGACTGACGAAAATAAAATGGATCTTGGTCTACTTAATATCCAAAAGTTGGAGACAATGCGCTAAAAACGTAGTGTACATTGAACACGTAAAAATTGCCTACCAATAATATTTGCTGTTGCGATAACGTTTAGTACCGATTCCGAAAAAAACAATTTTTTTCCGAAAATAAATCGTTGCTGCAATTACTAAATAATCGGTTAGTTAAAATGATGTCCATCAGATTCACAATGCTTAAATCTACTTACATACCTGATAAGTTCGAATATTTCTGGTTTCTCCCGTTCTCGCTGTTTCATCCGTTCTTTCATTGCTGTAATTATGCTGTTTGCTTTATCTTCGGCGCCATGCTTCGAGCTTTTCTCCGCCGCTCCTGCAATCAATTATTATTCGGTGAGTTAGCTCCTGAACAGAGATATTTCCATAATCGATACAAGAGCATAAAGTGCACACGGATTATACATTCATTTTTGATGGTGGGAATTTCAAGTTTAATGCATTTACTGAAAATTGCCTGAAAATGTTGAGTGTATGTCAACAACAGTTTAGCCACTAATCACCGTTACTTTAATTGGTTCAAACACATATTCCAATCCAATTCGTGTTTTCTGATTGTATCTGATCCAGTGGAAACGCTATGTTTGCCAGAACCATAATATCTTGATATGATGTAGTTTAATTTGCTTCATGGATTCAAGTTTTGATAAATGGTTTTTAAAATCACAAAAACAGCTTTATAAGATCATTAAAATGTCGGTAATCCTTGTAAATAGTTGAAAGCAGTTGCGCTAGTAACTAATCCTAGTAATAAAAATAACAATACTAATAATAATAATGGACTTTTAACGCTATTAATTATTAATTGATATATATATAATTGATAATAATTAAAAATGAGATAGAAGTTTTCTATTAAAAACTACTTTTCCATACATTCTGCTTGAAGCATAAAAGCAATTAAAAATCCAAGATTACAATTTTGAACAAACATACAATTCTAATTTTATGTTGGATTTTTTCTTCAAAAGATTTTGATAAATTAGTATGAGTTTTGGTATTTTCTCGCAGGCCAAAAGCTGTTTAAAGATTGATTTGAATTATATGATGAAACTCATTAATAATTACGTTGCGAACTACCTAAGCGAAATATCTATGTACCATCTAAAGGATCAGTACATGAATTACGTACTCTTCAAATAATTGTTCAATAATTCGAAAGAAACGAATTTA